AAAACAATTGTTATTTATAAAAAATTAAATGAAAAAAATAGAGTTGATATTTTGTAAATATATTTTAAATAAATTTATCTAATGTTAAATTTTCAAGCTGTTTAAGCTGTTCATCAATATCTACCATAATTTGTGCAGTTTCTTGATCAACCCAAAGATTACTTAAAGTTTGTCATTTAGGAGATTCATAACCCGCATTAAGATTTTTGAGTAAATCAATAAAAAAAGAACTTTGACTACTCAAAAAGGAATTTCACAACAAGTAAAAAAATGAGTTAAAGCTTTATTAATAAGCTTTTCTTGACCTTCATCTATATAAGTTGATTAAAATTTATCTGTAATTTTTGGCTGATTTTTAGTTTCAATTTCAATTTTTGCTTTTTTTTTTTTTTAAAGATTTGGAATTCATTACTATATATAAGTATTTTTGTTTAATATCTCCTAGCACATCTTTACATTCTAATATTAAATGTGATTTCATGTCACTAGGCTGTCCTCTTGGTGTAACATTTTCACAGTATCTATACTTCATTGCTACATGTCCATATTTATCTCGTGTACTAAGTTTAATATATTCATTATTTACAGGGTCTTCAGGTCTACCAACTGTTTTCTTAGTTTTTTTTAGTTTTTTTCTTTTTTTATTATTTTTATTCTGATTATTTTCACTAATACGTTCATCACTAGCAGAATCTTCCAAACTATCAGCTCTATCAACTTCATGAATTTGACTATCATCATGACTATTATCATTACTTTCATCTTGGCTAAAATTATTTTGCAAAACGGTGCTTGACATTTAAAAAAATATAGTATAACGATAATAATAGATAATGATAGCAATCAATACGCACCCTGCAAATCTAGATTTTCTATAAATTTTAATTTTTTTCTCACGAACTAGAAAATAATATTATGATCATATATATATTATAAATAATATGTATAATAATAAATGCATACAATATTTGCACAGAGTTCAAATATTTTGTAATTATATTAATTATATTATAATGATAAAAGAAGGATTAAATAGTATA